GGGAAAGAAACTGTTGAAGCTCTTGGCTCGCTTCTGCCCAGGCATTAGGATATCCTTAGGCAGTCTTCTGGCCAAGTCTCAGTTTCTGTAGTTCTATTCACTCATTAATGAAAAATTCAATTAGCAGTTGTCTTGTATAGTGCTTTGTTTCTTTCTCTTGCAGTTATTTCTGCTTTACTGTGGCCAGCATGCCATCCTCACTAAACCCCACTAACGATCACAGTCACATTTTCAGTACCTTCTCGTATTTGAAGAACCGTAGGTGGTTCTTCAGTGCTTCATGTTGGTACGTGGCTTTTTGCTGCTGCCGGGCTGCCCCCGTGGTTGTTCCCCTCCCACTGTCGGGCTGCAGTCCCGGAGCTGGCTTTCTAGTGGGAGATCTCCCTCTTGTGGCTCAGAGAGCCATTTCTGATCATAAAAAGGGAGCGCTTGGTGTCGGGGGACAAATCCACCCAAGTTTGAGAACTAGGACACTGAAGAGACGTATTTCTTGTCTTGTGCCCACCCTGCTTTGTCAGCCTCTAGTTAATTAGTTGGATAGCTAAAATGAAGACTTATTCTTACCTAGCTATTAAAAGGGAGTTTTATCTTGTCACGTGGTAGAACGCACCGTCAGTCATAGAGTTGCTTCTGTGCTTCATCCTTATTCCAGGCATTCTTACTAGTTACCTTTTCTAACCAGCCTTCTGCGTTGAAGAAACATGTAACCCAAAGAAGAAAGTAAAGAAGAGGAGCTGGAAGTGTTTCTACAACTACTGACATATGTCTCACTGATAATAGTTTAGGATGAAGCGCTCAGTGTTTGCTCTCATCTGTCTAGTTCATTCACTAGACTCGTATTAAGTATAATTTCTGTGCATTGATTGGTATTTCCAACCTTTTTGTATATGTAGTAGTTGTAAAAGGGTTTTCTCTTCCTCTTGTTTTATTATCATCTTTGGGATTAATTGTCTTGGCTTTTTTGTTGTGTGGGGTTTTTTTTCTGTATATTGGCTAACATCTTCCAAATCCACTTCTGCAATAGGCAATATTACATGTTATCATAATATTGTTTCATTTTATTATGAGTGTGTATGCATTTCTTTTTTTCATGTCTCCATAAAACCACAAACTAAATCTTTTTGAATTGACAGTTTTAACTTACATAGTAAGAAAACCCAAACAAAAAAAACCCAACCAACCAAACAAAAAAATCCACAACATTTTGGAGGAGTCATAAAAAAAAAAAAAAAGGGAAGGTGTCTGCATTATAAAACCAAATTCATTTATTCATTTCATAGGTTACACACAGCACTTACACCTCAGCTGTATTCATAGATCAGCCTATTCTCATCACTGCTGCTCATCTTTAATCTGAAACATGTTTCACATCTTCCATTTCAAAAGCAGAAGGCTATTCATTCTTGGGTAGCTATCTGCCTTGGAATACAATTCTCTAACTGTATTGATGGTCTCCTTGTAGCATACTCAGAAGACACCCATCATCAGAGATAATCTCCTCTTCTCTGACAAGATAATGATTATTTTTTTTTAAACTACACAGTCTTCTCCAGACATACACAAACGCTTTCAACAGCTTAAGGAAATGGTTACAAAGTGCCCTTTGCATCCTCTTGGCAAGAGTTGAGAGGTCCAAGAAACTTTCAGATATGACATGCTGTAAGACAGTTGCTGAAAGGCACAGGCGTAGCCGGAGCTGCATTTGCTAGCCAAAAAGGTTCCCTCAAGTGCATATGTATATCCCTGGAGTACACATATGGTCACCGTATTTCAAAAAGTTCTCAGTTACTCTACTTTGTGGTTGCGTAGGTAAAGGTGGACATTGAATACTTTCTGCCAGGTTATAAACTTGGCACATTGTGATAAACATGTCTAAATTTTTACAGGCAAAGCTTATACAGTGTAAAACTGTCTTCTGCATAAAATTTTCAATACCAACTACTATGCATATGCATTTAGGTCTTAGACTTCTGAGTTTAAGGTGTAAAAGTCTCTTGAAACTAAGACATAGCAAGAAATAATTAAAATACAAGTGAATTGGGATTATTGACCATTACTGAGTATAGACTGTATTTGATTCATATAGCTAGCTTCTACTAATGCCAGAATTGGATTACAAAAAAGGAAAATATTTCATAATTTTAATCTCTAATTATAAAAGAACCTCATGATGGGGTGAAAATTGATGCATTGTTTTCTGCAGGTTCAAATGGACCACAGTTGTTTACAGTTGAACAGTGGGGTACCCCTGAAAAACTGCCAAGAGCTCATACCTGGTGAGTATTTAATTTAGGTAAATTATGACCTTTAGTAAAAGTGATAAAATACTTAGAGTTTTCATCTGTTTTTCAGCTTTAATCGCTTGGATTTGCCTCCGTATGACTCATTTGAAGATTTATGGGATAAACTTCTTCTAGCGATTGAAAATACTCAGGGTTTTGATGGGGTTGATTAAGACACAGACATAAATTATATCGGTCCAGTGCTGCAATTTCATTCTAAGGGTTTACAAACAAATTTGAATTTTCCAGGGACTACCATTGTATCTAGTCACATGGCTATTGAATCTTCATAGTATCACTTGTAAGATAAGTAAGTATTAAAAATTCATTAGCTTTTGAAAATGTATTTTGCCATTTCCACAGTTTTATGTATTTTGCTAATAACTACAACGTACACATTGGATGGGCCAGTGCCAAGTAAGTCAAAAACTAAAATGTTTTTAAGCAGTTGCCTCTTCTACAGTATTTGACAGACTGTTCTGCAGTAAACTACTGAAGTAAAACTGTGAAGAAATCTTTGCAGAGGGTGTAAATTTGAATTGCTGCTTTAAGAGGAACAACTGAAATTGTTAAACTGTTTTTTAAACAAAACAAAACAAAACAAGCCAAAACCAACAAACTTCATGTAATGCAATATCATAATCTGTGCTGCTTCAGGCTGTTTGCTACAGATCTGTCCAAAGCACCTTATAATTCAGCATATTAGGTAAAATGTTGGAAAGAATTTGTTTGCATTATCAGCCACCAGTTTGCCAAACATTGACTTGCTGACACATTTTATTTGTTAGATTTCTGTTTCTAACTTGCTTTTGTTAAAACAGTGTAACAAAACCAGGATTTTTATATAAAACAGACAAGCAGCATTATTCTGAATTTTAATGAGAAATGATACCCATTTTTTCTCTGAATTTGTATACTGTTGTTGGTTTATTGAGTGTTCATCACTTTTTTGATAAATTTATAGGTCTACGATGGATAATATTTTCAATTAGCCTTTTGCAACAAATTAATCTTAAAGTGAAATTTGTATGGATATCACTCAGTATTAGTTACTGGTAGTTAGAGGCCTTTATTATCCATTCTTGCAGTATTGCACTACATAACAATAAAGAACATGTTTACAGGGTTTTCTGGGCCAAATTCAGCAGTCTGATATGTGCAAACTTCGCTGAACTGCATGGAGGTTATGCACATGTAACCAGATGCAGAATTTGGTTCTGTAATATGTTTACAGGTTATGCTAGTTTCTATAGCTGCATTTTTATATTTTTTTTCTCCACTGTTAGTCTAGAAACCAAATTTGTTAATACAGTATAACCAAAGTCATAACCAACAATGTGCAATTTATTGTAGATCAACTTGTCATATAAATACTAGTTTGATTTCTTTTGTACATGTGGGTATTTTTTTGTATTAATGTTAACACTTTTTTTTTTGAGCAAGTGCTGGTTAAAATGATTAGCAAAGTTGGTTCCGAAAGAAAAATTGGTTTACATATCCGGCTTGCTCTAATTTTAACATTTTATTACCAATATGATCTGAGGAAATGACAGTACCTAGCTTTGGCCAGCGAATTTCTGTGTAGTCACAGTCATTATAAATATGCAAGAAGGAAGTGTAGCACATCTCTCTCTAAAGATATGTAAATTATGTAACAAATGTAATGGGTCTTAAGGGATATTTAAAATCCCATTTTGTTTTATTCTTTGACTAGGTCATTAGGGCTGAGAATATTACATGTAAATAAAGGTAACTTATACAAATTTCCCAAATCTATATGCAGTTTTGTAAAACATGAATGATATATCAGTAAATCTGTATAGATTTGAATGTAGCAGGTTTTGTTGCATACTTTAAAGTATAAAATAAGGATCCTGAGAACAGTAAATAAAAGTTTATTCTAATAAGTTGTGACTCAGTTCTTTGAAGTGCAAATCGGTAGTCTTGAAATAGCAAGAACTCAGTAATTTTAGTACTCCTAGGTAGACCTGGAGAGCAGTTCCACCGCAATACGCTGCTACTTTCTCATAGGCGTTGAGGTGCAGCAGTGCCGTTTCTGAGTGTTCTGCTCTCAAGACATGCAGTCTTTGAAAAATTAATACCATGTTTTTATAAAAGCTCTAGGTAGTTGTGAGCCTTCATTGTATGGCCAGCCTAGAAACGCTACATGGCAAACAGGCAAAGGTGGAGGCCTCGCAGAAATGCCTGCTGACTGCTGCTGAGGGAGAGTCAGGCTCCTCTCTCCTATGGTAGGAACACCCTTCTCAGCTGGTCAGCAGGCACGCAGCCAACAGGCTTCGGTGGCGAGTGTGGCAGGGATGTGAAAGGGGCCCTGAAACTCTGCTCCAGGCAGCGCAGACTGCCCAGCAGTGATGGGGATGCGCCGCAGGGCTTGGTCCCCAGTGCCAGCTGGGGGAAGCAGCCCTGGCGCATGGGTGGAAGCGCCTGGAGAAGGATGCTGCTGCCAGGTCTGGGGCCGCAGGGAGTACCTGTTGCCTGCCGCGGAGCCGGGGCAGGGCTGGCCTTGCCTGCAGGAGCTCTGCTGTGGGCAAGGCACTGAGTTGCCCCAGGAAGGAGCTACAGAAGTGAGCAGACTTGTAGCATCGGGGAGGATGAACAGCAAGAGGTCATAAGGGTCTTTTGCCAGAGACCTTGTAGAGGCAAAAGACCAAACCATGCAGTGGGAGTAGGAAGAGGCAGCTGGAGGCCCTACTTGGGCAGGTAGTGGGTGGAGATTCCCAAGATGGGTGAAGCTGGAGGCTTGTGACTTCTGGCATGAGAAGAAAGGCTGCTTTTCCACCTTTGGGTATGAATTTATAAAATTGCCATGGTGCTGTAATAGACAAAGAAAGGAACAAGTTGCATTAAGGGAAGGGTTCAGAGCCAGATGGGCCTGAACCAAGTGTTCGCACTGAGAAGTGGTGGGTGATAGAGTGCCGGGAATCCCTTCTGTGGGCTTTTAACTAGGTTTGTTGAGGAACGGTGATAACAGCTTGTGGTTAACTAAGAGAAGAGAGGTCAATGGGGCTAAGTGCTGGGGCAGGGTGATGGGAGCGAGGCAGCCCTTGTGGGGGATGCCACAGGCTGAAGGGGGCCCACTTCATGGGCCTGAACACTCACAGGCAGCCAGGGAAAGACCGGGAGGAGCAAGAGACATGGCTCACGTGGCTGGAGCCGTTCGGACGTGGGGAGATCTGTGGAAGGGGTGACAGGCTGGTACAGAGCTTCATGGGTCTGGGTCAGAGGAGACACCAGTACGGGAAACACCCTGGTGAGGACTTGTCCTGGGCCACCTGTTTGTCGTGAGGAAGTGGGCAGAGTGGTCTTGAAGCATCTCAAAGAATCCTGAAATTGCAAACCCTGGCTCTTAGAGGAGACTAAACGCCCTGACGTCTGCGGGCAGGGCAGCACAAGGGGATGCAATCCGGGAGGTTTCTGGAGGGGGTCACGAACAACTGAACAAGGGTGCTGCCTCGGCCAACCAGGGCGATGCTCTCCCGCATCTGCTGCGTGTCCCTTTGTAATTGTATTTTCTGCACATTACACCTCCGTATTCCCTGAAACGTACACACTTAGATTTTGTGGGGCACTACTACGAACACTTACCTATTTTTTTTCACCAGGAACACTGTTTCTAGTACAGCTCTGTGTGCCAGCTGCAGACCAGTTACCGTGGCATTACAGATGAAAATTTAACAGCTGCTTCCATGCCTGTTAACAACCATCCCTGTTACACTAATTTCTTTACTCTTAAGGCCCAGCAGTGCCAGGTGAGACCCCTCACAAGGCAGACACATTTCCCAGGTAGGTAAGAGCTAACTGCACCAATCTGTTGTGAAAAGGAGTACATAGGGTTGACGTTTGGTAAGAGATGTTGTGCAGACCTGGTTAAAAAGCGTAGATCTGTGAAGAAACTCTGTTTGAAGGGGAGGCGTGAGCCGCTTGCGGGCTGCTGGCCCGGCTCGGCTCGGCTCGGCTCAGCTCGGCTCGGCCCCGCTCCCGCTGCGGGGGGAGGCC